GACAGCAAGAGAAAAGCAGTTAGTTGCATACAAGGGAGCTCCCATATGACTGTCAGCTGATTCCTCAACAGAAACTTTTCAGACCAGAAGACAGTGACAAGAAATATTCAAAGTGATGAAAAGCAAGGACCTACAACCAAGATTACTATACCCAGCAAAGCTATCACGTAGAATGGTAGGTCAGATAAAGAACTTTACAGACAAGAAAAACCTAAAGGAGTTCATCACCACCAAACCAGTATTATATGAAATGTAAAGGCCCTTATTTAAGAAGAAGAAATGAAGATCATAAATATGAACAATAAAATGCAATAAATACCAATCTATCAACATTGGAATCTACAAACAAAATGAGCAAGCCAACAGAAATAATATGGGAGGGGAGTGAGAGAGGGGGCAGAAAAGGTGAAGAGATTAAGAAGTACAAATTGGTTGTTACAAAATAGTCATGGGGATATAAAGTACAGCATAGGGAATATAGTCAATGATATTCTATTAACTAGGCATGCTGATTTATCAGGATTTATTGGGATAATCATGCATTAAGTTATGTAAAGTCTGGTCACTGGGGTACACAAAATGTTTTAAAAATATAATAAAAATAAATAAATAACACTTAGAAAGATGAATACAAAAGAAATATGAGATAACAAGATGGAAAATATTAAATAAATGTGAAAAACCATGGAAGATGGAGTGAGGAGATTTGATATGTTGGTATAGAAAGAATTAGTGGAAGAGGAAGTAGTGTTAGAAAGATAGTTGCTGATATTTTCAGAATTGTTGAAAGTCAGACATCCTAAGTTTCAGAAAGCCCACTAAATCATTTTAAAAAATTACTTGCCTATACATATCATCATAAAACTTCAGAACACAAATGCTAAAAAGATATTTGAAGCAGCCAGAGAGAAAATTTATGTAGGCATGATTAAATATTCAGTGTAAACACTAAAAGGATATTTTAAAAGTATAATTTCCAAAACATAATGAAAAAGAAGGGAGAAAATAAATTCAGTCACATCCAAAAAGGATAGAAATAAAAATGAAATAAAAATAATAAATAGCAAAGTAATATGATGATAGTAATTAGCCCAAATATATCAGTAATAAAAATAAATATCATCAAAAGAGGCTTATTAAATAAATGACAAAAACTCGTATTTTGGATCAATTTTAGCATTATTCCCTTTATAGGAGACATTGTTAATAAATAAAGATACAGAAAATAAAGGAATGTAAAAAGATATATTAAACAAGTGCCCACAAAATAATACTGATATCAGAAAAAAAGACTCATTGAGATAAAAAGTATTACTAGAAATAAAGAGGCTCATTACATGATAGCAGATTCATTTTCACATTAAGTTGTAACAATTACAAAATTTTATTTAGCTAGTGATATTATCTAGAAGTATATTTAAAATTTCCAGAGCTACTTGAACTAGGCAAACTATACATACTAGAGGAGATATTAGCATACCTCTCTTGTAACTCTAAAGAGCATAGAATTTCAAACACATGTTTTCAAACACACATGGAGTCTTCACAAAACTGACTAGATGATACACAATGAAGACTAATGAGTGACACATTCAATACCATTTTGCAATTAAATTAGACATTAGTAAGAAAAATAACACACAAGCCCTAACCGGTTTGACTCGGCAGATAGAGCATCAGCCTGCTGACTCAAGGATCCCAGGTTCGATTCCAGTCAAGGGCATGTTCCTTGGTTGTGGGCACATCCCCAGTGGGTGGGGAGTGAGGGCGGAGAGTGGGGTGGGAACTGAAAAAGAAACAAAAAAACTACGAACAAATTCCTATGCACAGTGCACATATCTTATTTTGAAATAAAAAAACAAAATGAGAACAAATACAATATTTGTATTTCCATGTGGCCTGCAGGCTGTAGTTTGAGGACCCCTGCACTATAGCATAATATTTGATGATTCATTGAAAGCATTTCCTTTACAAATGAAGAGCTGGATAAGAGTGACTACTGTTGCCACTTGTATTAAACATTATATATTAGGCTGTGTAATGTAGAAGAAAAGTAAATAAAACAAATGCAGAGTGGACAGAAAGAAACTACCATAATTCTAAAATGCGACAAACCGAGGAACTGCTACTGGAGAATACAAAACAAATGCTGGGGCTAGTGAAGTGAGCACATAAAATATGCCTTCGCTGGGAGTCTCTAGAGACGTGGCATCCCATCCATGTATGTCCAGATTGCCACACCAGGGGTATAGTAGTTTACAATTTAGTTGATTTACAGTCTGTTCTGAACAGTCAATGCCCATGCCGAGCTGGATGATAATTATTTTTAGTAACACTTTTTTGTCAGTTTTCCCTTTTTCCCATCCCTAAAGAGTCTTTCATCGTTTTGCCAGGTAAGATACTTTGTTTCTCTTCCTCACCTAAGATTTTTCTCTACTCTTTGGAAGAGAAGACACTCATGATTGCTACAGGGTGAGTTCACAAGATATCAGACTATATCTGAACTGTGTAATATGGTAGCCACTAGCCACATGGGGCTTTTTAAACTTAAATTCATTTTAATTAAATACAATTTAAAATTCAGTTCCATAGCTACACTAGCCACTTTCTAGTCCTCAATAGCCATACTTATATCTGAGTGCAGACATAGAGCTTCCCATGATTAGATATATTAGATAGTGCTAGTCTATAAAATTAGTGCCATTTTTTTGCATCTGTTCAAGTGGACAATAAGCAGAATTCTTCAATCTGGATCAATTGTTTGCCTCTATATCAAGTTAATATCGCCACAGGACAGAATCACCATGGCTTTGGCACTGCGTGGTCACCTCTTCTTGCTCAAAGTGTCTTATGTGAACTTCGTGTTTAGGCTAGCCTGTATCTTCTTCCCCAAGAACAGAATTACCAAAATTCATAAATTAAGCATGTTACATCTCCAGGAATTTAGTCTAATTATTATTCATATCCAATACATTCTTTAGAGAGATATCAGTTAGACATCAACTGGTTTCTTTGAAGATTTTCCTACTCTCAAATATATCGTAAATTCCCTGTGTTCTCGATTGGTGAATTCTACGCTGCATCTCATACGTTGCCTCCCTGATTGATTTGATTCATTTAGAAATGTGGAAAAGAGACTGTAGTTGTTTTCTGTTTATAACAGTGCCAGGAAGACTTATGCTGGCATCCACTTCATCAAAGAGACTTTCAGACTCTTCAGTTATCAACACAAACTGTTATTAGCTGTCAGCAGGTACAAACCTATTGAGAAATAGTGTTCTTCAAGCATAATCATCTGACTTTTGATTCCCTGAGCTTGGTTTGATTATAAATGGGGGATTTTTTTTTCCTGGGATAGTTCATTTCCTATAATGAAGCCCAATCTTATCATCTTTTTAGAAACTGAAAGTATGGTATCAAATTCCACCAGAACCTTCATACTGAGATCGTTACTGCTCCTTCCCAATTACAACCTGGGGAAGTGCATCATGAACTACTTGGATTTCTACAACAGTGAAAAAATGTGCATGGAAAATCCTTATGCCTTCTTAGACTGCGATGAAAAAAGTAAGTATCTTGGGAGTCCCTAAGTATCTAGGAAGTTAGTTTCAGGGTCAGCCCATGGGACATGTGGGGTCTGCCCATATTTCAAAGGAGTCGGGCTACCTGTATTTAGGTCATTTTACAAGGCTGGGGAAAAGAACTTTTAAATATAATAAGCCTCAAAAGAAAATCCACGGTAAGTTTGAAATTGTCATCAGAACTAGGCGCTGCTAACAATCAACCACCTAATAACTTTACATACATTATTCTAAATCTTCACAAACTCAACCTTCTGAAAAGTCACTTTGAGGAAGTGCCTGTGCCCAATCTTACACAGCTTTCCTGGGCTAGGGCTGGGATTCACAGCTACGTTCTTTCCTTCTGTGATGTACTTCCTCTATGGCAGGAGTGGGGACCATCCGGCCCCCGGGCTGTCTAAGGCCTGCAAAATCATTTTGTCTGGCCCTGCCAAGGCATTAGAGGTGAATTATTTAAATGTTTGACCAAATTCTAATTTTTAAACTGATAATTTTGTGTGGCCCACAAATTTTGTTATAAATATCCAAATGGCCGTTGGTAGAAAAAAGTTTCCCCACACCTGATCTATGGGAAAGACCTCTAGGGGAAGGCTTTGTATTGTAATTGTATTATATTTACTTGTATTCCCCCCAACACCATCACCACTCAGAATCACACATTAATTGGCACACAAGTTATTTCAAGGAATGAATCATTTGGGTATCCTATTAATAATTTGGGAGCTCTAGCCAGTTTGGCTCAGTGGATAGAGCATCATCCTGCAGACCAAAAGATCCCGGAGTTTGATTCCAGTCAAGAGCACCTACCTCAGTTGCAGGCTCCTCCCTGGCCGGGGCATGTGCACGAGGCAATCAATCAATGTGTGTTTCTCTCACATCAATATTTCTCTCTGTCTTTCCCTCTCTCAAAAAATCAATGGAAAAGTATCCTCAGGTAAGGATTAAAAATAATAAATAATATGATAGTTTGAGGAGAGGCATTATAGAATTTTTCTAAGATCATTTAATTTACCTACATTTTAAAATTTATTGAAGTAAATTTGTTTATAGTATATTATGGTATTTTAACAATTATAAGTTTGAATAGTGATGTTGCCATTTACATTTGTGATATTCCTAACCTTTCCATTTATATTTTTTCTTGATGAATCTTACCAGAAGTAAGATTTTATCAATTATATTAGTAGTCTTTTAAAGAAGCAAGCTTTTACATTTATTGATTCTTTCTATTGTATCTTTGTTTTCTAAATTTTTTTTAATTAATAAAACTTTATTGTTCAGATTATTACAGATGTTCCTTTTTTTTCCCCCATAGCTCGCCTCCACCTGGTTCCCATCCCACCC